TTATGGAAAGATTGACTATTTTGGTATGAGTGTCCTACAATTTACCATGATTCATTTATTTAATCTAAACTCAAAAGAAGAAAACTTTCAGATATGCCCTGTTTTCTTCTTTATTGGAAAGAATTTGTAGATAGCTGTCAAGGTAGAATATATAAGAAGCCTGAATGGAAAGTGCTTTTCAAGGGTCAATTGCAATCAACAGGGTTGGCTCTGTGAGCCAACCAGGCCCGGCATCAAGAATTCTGGTGTAGAAGGAATGGTGTCTTACATCTGCCATTGGGACCTCTGGGCCTCTGTTCATGAACAAGTGCTTCAGATTTCTCCAGTTTGCAGCTGTATATCCTAAGAGACATTCTACTTTAACCTGCACCTTTTTTGGTCTTTCTTATTGCAGTCTATACTGAAAAGTACCTAGATCACCTTGTACCTAGACCATCATGCCCAACACAGAGTCTGTGTGACCTAATATCTTTAAGACTCCATGCTTGCTTTGCAGTAGAAGAACCAACTCTAAAAATAGCATAATGAATATTAGGCAATCTGTAATAGCAAGAAACATTTGAAATTTTAATCACCTAATTAGAAATAGTCTAATTTATATATTATTAAGAATTCCCTAAAGAGGTAGAACCATGGAAAAGAAAACCATATAAACGTCAGTTTAATACTTCAGGCAGGTAGCTATGAAAGTTAGCTGTCATGTCATAGTTAATAGACTGATGAGAGAAGGGACCAAGCTGAGAAGAAACTGTATAGTATTGAATTAGGTGTGGATTACAATAAGTCACAATAAACTTTGAAATATCTCTTCACACATGTTCATTTTTATGCATATTGTCAAGTGCCCCAGTCAAGTTTGGGTCTGAACTCTGGGAAGACTGATACCAAGAGAAAGGGCATTGTTCCTGAAACAGCATTAGCTTTGTTTAGATCCTCATGCATGGGCTGGTGTTATCTATCCATAATGCTACCAAATGCTAAAAAAGATCATTCTTGAATCAGCTATCTAAACTCTCCCATCTGTGATTCAAAGGAAACAATGCTATCATAGGAAGAGCAAGAATTTGAATGTGTGTGTATATCTTCAAGTCCTGGTCCTTACGTTCACTGGCCTCAAGCATGCTGCTTGGCTGTCTGATTCTTGTACAAAATAAACACATAAAGACTATTTAGCAGATATATTTTAAAGAGAAACAGGAAATTGTCAAAATACCACTTCCCACAATGACACAGTTCATTTACTAAGCTTAGGAAATGTCTGACAGCAATGTATGCCAGAGGTAAAATAATCCAGGATGTAAATGAAATGCCATTAATTTCTACCTCAGGTTTTTGCAGATTTTGCTGATATTTTTTGCAGCCTTGTTTTCTAGCAGTAACCCACATTTTAAAATTGTTTCTTGACTAGATTGCTTCTCTAAACACTTCCTAACTCCTCTGGCCCACTAACACTTTCACAGCATGTGATCAAACACGGAGCTGTCAGCAGCAGTTTCAGGCCAGCACAGGCACCCAGTTCCCTGTGAGAACCAGAGCTTGCCAGGACTCTGTAGCTTCTCCTGGCACTGTAAATGTATGGCCAGGGTGTTGCCAGTCATGAAGGAAAGGATGGATTCCGTGGTACAAGGAAGATGCTCAAAGATTCAAAAGACTTTTTTGCAACAACAACAACAAAAACCACCACAAAGGAGCCAAAAATAAAAATATGTCCCACAGAAAACGCAAACCACACCCCAAACCAGTACCCCCTTCGCCCTTAAATCTTCTACATGCTCAGTGAGCTCCTAGACATTGGATCTCTTTGGATGAAACAATTCCAAGGCTCAGAAAATGGGAACATAAGAGAGATATGCATGGTAACCCAGAGAAGGGGAACAAGAAAGAATATTCTGAGGGGATTGGGAACACAGGGCGGGGGAAGAAATAAAGAAGCTGGGGGGAAAAGAGGGTGTGAAGAGTAGGGGAGAAGAGGACAGGGGGGCAGGAAAGTTGATTCGGGGGAAGAATAGAGGAGAAAAGGATGAGACATACCATAATAGAAGGAGCCATTTATAGGTTTGAAGAGAGCTCTGGCACTAGTGAGATGTCCAGAGACATACAAGGATGGCACCAACTGGCAATCTAACCAATAGTGGATAGGCTACCTTAAGTGCCCTTCCCTGATGATGTGATTGATGACTTCCTTGGGTGTCACCCTAGAGCTTTCAACCAGTGACTGAAGGAATCAGAGGCAGACACCCACAGCTAAATACTGAACTGAACTCCTGGAACGCAGTTGCAGAGAGGGAGGAGAGATGAGCAAAGGGGTTAAGACTTGGCAGGTGAACCCAACAGAAACAGCTGACCTAAACAAGGGGGAGCTCATAGAGCCCAGACTGATAGCTGAGAAGCCAGCATGGGACTGATCCAGACCCCCTGAACATGGGTGTCAGTGAGGAGGCCTCAGCATTCTATGGGGCCTTGGGCAATAGATCAGCACTGATCCCTGTCATCAACTTTGGGAGCCCATTCCACGTGGAGGGATGCTGTCTCCACAAGGACACATGGGGAAGGGTCTAGATCCTACCCCGGATCATATGACAGACTTTCAAGATCCCCCATGAAGGGCCTCACCCTCTTTGGAGAGTAGAGTAGGGGTTGAGGGAGGGATTGGGGGAGGGTTGAAGGGCGATGGGAGAGGAAGTGAGGGAGAAGGAGCTGGGATTGACATGTGAAGCAAACTTTTTCTAATTTAAGTTAAAAAAGAAAGAAAGAAACCTTACAGAAAAAAAAGATGAAATGAAGGGAAGTAGGGAATCCCCAGGCTTCTCTTCCAGATTACAAGAAAAAAATCTTTGAACTAAAGGAAACTGAAAGTTAGATTTTTCTCTCAACCTCAGGGAAACCACTAAACTGTGTAGTCGTATAGTCCCTGAGACCGGCTATCCCTGTGTGGCCACTGGCCTATTCTGCCCTTCTAGGCAGCACCCAGCCCCACTTGGGAGAAGATCCTTTATGTTTAGCAAGTCTCTTGACTATAGCCATTGCGTGTGAGTTGTACCGTGCATGCGTGTATGTGTGCATGTGCATGTCTGTGTGTTCAAACAAATGAGAGGTAGAGGGCTCTGATGTCATAGCTGCTTCATCCTGCTCTCCCTCTTCATCCCCATCTCTTCCTCGTCCAGATGGCGTTTCTGTTAGGTAGTATCCTGCTGTCATAACAAAAGTCCTGATGTAATCAAGCTACAAAGAAGAAATTTTCTTTGTCCCTACAGTTTTGGATGTTTCAGTTCATGACAAACTGGCCCCACCATTTTGAGATGGTAGTGGCACAGTCTGTCCTCGTGGGGACATATGACAAAAGCATTCATTGACATCATATTGATAGGAAGTGAAAGAAGGGGATGGTAGGAGAGATCATGTGCCCAATATCTGCTTTTGGGAAATGACCCCACTGATATTACTCCCAACGGGTTCCATCTCCTAAAGGCTTGACCACCTGCAAGAGAGCTACAAGATGCTGACACGGGGCCTTTTGTAGAGCACTTAGCCAAACCACAGCACAGTGGAGATGCTATGACGCAGAAACACAGAAAGCTATAGGCAAAACCTTGGACCTGACAACAGACCTACAGATATGAAACTGCATTATAAAAGAGACATTTTCTTATCATCAGACACTGTACAAGTTGCTTTCAAGATACACTTGTAAAATTCTAGAACCTGATTTTTGAATGACCTTGGAAGCATGCTAACATCAAGTCCTTCACAAGGGGGGAGCTAAGAAACAGAGCAGGCTCTTAGGGCACAGATTCTTATTTTTATCTAAATTAAAAACAACCTCTGGACTCTTAGGGGGAGTGCCTTGACCCTACCAAGAGTAAAATGATAGACTCTAGATATCCCCTATGTGGAAGGATTTGGCAATAGGGTGGGAGGGAGGGTGGAAGGGGAGTGTGGGAGGAGGGGAGGGAGAGGGAACTGGGATTGACATGTAAAACAAGCTATTTAAAATTAAAATAAAAAATGATAAAAAAATTAAAAAAAAAACAACCTGATTTTACATACTAATTACAGTTACCTGTCTCTCCCATTCTCCTGTTCCCCCACTATCCCTCCATCCAACCCCATCCACTCCCCAGGGAAGGTGAGACCTTCCATGGGGGATCATCAAAGTCTGTCACATCATTTGGGGCAGGACCTGGACCCTCTCCCATGTATCTAGGTTGAGAGAACATCCCTCCATAGGGAATGGACTCCCGAAGTCCTTTCCTGCACTAGGGATAAATATTGGTTCCACTGCCAGAGATCCCATAGACTGCCCAAGACCCCCAACTGACACCCACATTCAGGGGGCCTGATTTGGTCTTATTCTGTTTCCCCAGCTTTCAGACTGGGGTCCATGAGCTCCTACTTGCTCAGGTCAGCTATTTCTGTGGGTTTCCCCATCACAGTCTTGACCTCTTTGCTCATCACTCATCCCTCTCTACAACTGGATTCCAGGAGTTTGGCTCAGTGCTTAGCTGTGACTCTCTGTTTCTGCTTCCATCAGCTACTGAGAAGGCTCTGTGATGGAATTTAAGGTAGTCATCAATCTCATTATTGGAGAAAGGCATTTAAGGTAGCCTCTCCACTATTGTATAGATTCTTAGTTGGGATCATCCTTGTGAATTCCGGGAGATTTCCCTAGTGCCAGGTTTCTTATTAAGGCCATAATGGCTCTCTCTATTAAGGTATCTCTTTCCTTGCTCTCATTCTCTGTTCTTCCTCCAACTCGACCTTCCTGCTTCTTCATGTTCTCCTCCACCATCTTCTTCTCCCTTCCTCTTCCTTGTATCTCTCTCCGTCCTGCCCCTGTGCTCCCAATTTACTCAGGAGATCTTGTCATTTTACCCTTCTCAGGGGATCCTTGTATGCCTCTTTTAGGGTCCTCCTTATTTCCTAGCTTCTCTGGGATTGTGGATTGTAGGCTGGTTATCCTTTGCTCTATGTCTAATATCCATTTATGAGTGAGTACATACCATGTGTTTCTTTCTGTGTCCGGGATACCATCTTAAACCTGTCGGAATGGCTAAAATCAAAAACACCAATGACAGTTTATGTTGAAGAGGATGTGGGGAAAGGGGAACATTCCTCCATTGTACAGCCACTTTGAAAATCAGTATGGTAGTTTCTCAGGAAAATGAGAATCAGTCTACCTCAAGATCCAGCAATTCCACTATTAGGCATATACCCAAAGAATGCACATTCATACCACAAGGACATCCATTGAACTATGTTCATAGCAGCATTATTTGCAATACCCATAACCTGGAAGCAACCTAGTGCTGGTCTGGTGGTTAAAATGTTGTTGCTGTGAAACAAGGTGGTGACAACATTTATGACATGAGGCCAGGGCACCCCCTGCAATGCACAGTTCAGGACTCCTCTCGTGGTTTATCATAGGTCTGTAGTGCTGTTCTCCTCCTACGTGCTATCATACCATTCTGTGCCTGGTCCTGGAAACACTGTTCAAGTCACCTAGCAATTAACGCTAGTCAGTGCATGTCACAGTAAGGAAGCCATCAAGCAGAGGCTGCCCCTGATCTTCCTCAGAATACATGACAAAGGTACACACTCAGCACTGTAGGCCTGGCTCACATGGAGCTCCAGTTTAACAGGACCATTCTGAATGCCTTCTTCCTCCTTCTTTCCTAACACCGTCTCCACTGCTGTTCCCTCTCGGAAATTCTCAGTTTTAAAATTGACTTGGCACCCTGAAGAGATTGTTTTGGTTTGGGTTTTGACTCAAAGAATAACATTTTATTCACCTTTCTTTTCCTGATATTTATCATAATCTTAATACACACAAAACATATACTGAACATCCAAAGGGGACAATAGGAAGAGAAAAAGAAGAAACACATGGAATAGATAGGAAAGTGACAACAGCCAGCAGGGCAGAACTAGATGGACTCAGATAAAAGGTAGAGGCTGGGATTAATAAAGACAAATGACTATAAAATCCATCTGAATCTGAGTTTGCATTTGTCTTAGGCCTAGAAGTCTAGTATCTTAGAAGGCTTCCTCTACAACTGTGAATCAGGATAATGTGTTCTTTTCCATACGAATTAACCTATAGAAGCAAATGTGAGACTGGAGAGATCGCTCAACAGGTAAAGCATTTGCCATGTAAAAGTGGAAAGAAAGAACTAACTCCACAATAGATATGCATCAAGTAAATTCAGATTTTTTGAAAAGGAATCATGGCTTGTGTGGAAGGTTCTGAGATCAAAGACAAGATGGGTTTGCAACTCTATGCCTAGCTGGCCCTGTGTCCCGAGTGTGCTACCTGGTCCCCCTGAATCTCAATGCCATCATATGAAAAATCAGGCCAATCACTTCTACTTCAGGAGCTCAAGTGAGATAACTAAAGTGGAAATCTTCGCTAACCCAAAGGGCAAGGCACCTGGATGTGATTACTGTCTGTGAGTCTCCTCCCAGCTTTGCCCAACCTAAAGAGGATTCAGTCACTATAGGCTGTCTCATCTGCATACAGGGCACAAAGAAGTCGGATGGGTTCACACAGACTCATGATTTCCAGTTTCCTTGGCTGTTTTCCCGGTCTACCAAGTCAATCAGTTTGTATCCACAATAATCATCAACGGAGCCTAATCTCACAGAGTGTATAACAAAAAGACCAGATCCTGGGATCCAGGTCAGTCTGCAGAGAAACCACCTCCTTCCTCCATTCACTCCGGTAGGTCATAGAGCATGGGAGCATAGAGCATAGAGAGAAACTGCCTGTTACTTTTAGCTTCAGACATGGCATGCATACAGAAATAAAATGACCAAAATAATCTTTGTCTCTATTTTTAAATTAGTGCTCAGCTCTGACCAGAATATAAGCAAGGAAAAAGGCTCACAACTGATTCCTTTTCTTAGCATTGTCCAGCAGGTTTTGCCTCTATTCTTATTTTTACTTCAGTCACCTCCCCAAAGGACAAATGCAAGATCAAGAGAATTTTTAAACTGTTTTTTTTCTCTCTCCAATTTCTTGTGTATGTTTCTCTTTCCCCGAATCAGTCATACCAACAAAAAAGGATGTGGAGGTTTTCAAAAAAAATTTCAGAAGCTAGTTTGGAACCTCATTAATCCCAGAGGTCTGGTAGAAAATCTGTTCTGGCTACTGTTTTCCTCTGGGAGATATATATATCCATATATCTCATCTTGACTTTTTTATCTGCAGTTTGTTTTTGTTTTCTTTTGCAAAGCTTTTCACATTTCTCCAAGCAGACAATAGGATCTGTGCAGGGTCACATAGTTGCATGTTAAAGAAGAATGTGAAGAGACAGTGCTGATATTATGGCGTGGAAAGAGACAGTTCGAGGATTGGGCAGTTGGGGCAGGGCCAGAAGATAAGAGTTCTTTTCTACTGCAACTGAAGCAGAGGTGAATTATAAGGGCTAGGAATATGATTTTGTCAGTAACCTGCCTGACATTCAAGTGAGGAGATGAATTTGGAACCCCAGCACCCAAGTTAAAAGCTGAGCATGTGTAACACATTGCAGTTCCAGAACTGGGAAGAGAGAGATGGGTAGATCCAGGAGTTCTATGGCTACCATTCCTAACCAAATCATTGAACTCCAGGTTCAGAAGAGATCCTACGTTAAAAAATAAGATGGAGACACACACACACACACACACACACACACACACACACAAATACATATAACACACAATGCACTTCAGAAATCAATCAATTAATAAACAAATAGAAAACAGGCTTAAATCTAGAGTACCCTGCATATAGCAGCTACACAGGGCTCTCAAACATTTTAAGTGTGCAGCTGAGAGGACTGAATTTTATATTGCATTTAATTTTAATTAAAACATAAACTAAAATCAGTTTCTAGAAAATCAGTATGATTAAAATTACTTGAATATATAAGCTTACTTTTTCAACTGTAAATTTTGTGAATTTTGAGTATATATAAATATAAATTTAAATATAGATGAAAATTTATCATCAGAATTGATGAACTCTGAGAACAGAACACACACCAGAGTTTTGAAGACATAGTACATATTTTGGGTACTTTTGACTTTAATCAAACATATTGGGTTGATGTTATTTGTTTTTGTTTTTAATGTAGCTACTGGAATTTAATTTACTTAATTTAAATGTGTGCAATTGTTTATATTTCTGTTAGTCTCTACTTTCCTGATACAGAAAACACTTGGGTTAGAGTTCAATGCGTTTCCCTTCCGAGCTCTCAGATGGGAGCAAAGGTGATTTCTAGTTCCTTGATGAAGATCTGCCTGATAGTCCCTACTGCATAGACTCCATGTGAGATGTGACTGAGTTACAAAAGCTTGAAATCCATGAAGCAGCCCTGACACCTGGTGTGCTCAATATATGCTATTATTATAGTTTGAAGTTTATATTTATCATGCTATGGGGAGAGCAAGAAACTGCAAGAGACTTAAATGTCAGAGAGAATTTTTCTCCTTCTTAGGAAAGTGTTACAGCAAATGTCCATTCCTTTCCATTAGATTCTGGACAGCAGATGCTTAAGGCCTTGTCCTCATGTTGAGCTGCTCCATATCAGGTCACTGCTTGCTGTTGCTTGAACACCTTCTTAAGAATCTCCAAAAGCTACATCTAACAGGTGGGTTCCAGATTTAACTTAGAAATACACTCTAGTAAAAAAAAAATGTGGTACCAAGCCAGGAGAGTAATGTGCTCTGCCACTGCCTGATTTGTATTTATCTGATGGGGTTGGTTCCCTATCAGCTAAATATAGATAATAGGAGATGCTATTGTGAGGATTTAATAAGTAGCATGGCAGATAGAGCTCTATAAACCACACAGTACCAAGCCTGTACCAACATGTCCTCCCTTGAGAACCACTGCAGCAGGATGGTCCTCTCTCCCCCTCCCCCACAACATACAGTTGCTTCATGGGAGGATCCCTAAGGACCTGCACTCTGCTCTACTTTTCTTGCAAGTTTGTCTGTCATTAAACAGCCAATCCCTATGGTGCAAAACCATCTAAAATCCCTTTTGAAAAAAATACAGAAGATCAGCAGTTAAGAAATAAACTAGTAAATCAAGCAGTTGTTCATACATCAGCTCATTCTGTTCAGTCAGGCATCTTGCAAATCTTTGAGGAAATGAGTCACCAATCATTTGGTGCAATAAGATTTCTTCATTATTATTCCCCAAAGTGTAAATATATACAGTACATAGTATGCAATAAGGATGTGGGTTGGGGGGGTATGTGGTATGACTTAGATTAGTAGTTAGACTATGGCTCTTTAAGAAGGTAACATTTAAGCGACATATGAATTATGAAGATAAGTAGAAGCAGTGTTTCTAGATTCAGGGGAAGGTACACAGTATCATCTATGTACTAAATGGCACTGGATTGTTAGCTTTAGCTAACTGTATGCAAGTTCACTTCACTGAAGTAGTAAACTTGATCTTGCATGATATCTCCAAAAACTACATCAAAAAAAGCATTATTCTTGACTAATGAAAACTGACTTATGCCCACAAAATTTATAACATGGGACTTATGAAAGCATGGCTAGCATAATATACATCACTGCATAAATACTCTTAAGCATATTTTTTAAAAAAGAAGAAAGCAAACATGGGTAGGAAATATCATAGAAAAGATGGTTACACAAAAAAATCAAACATTTCAAGTGAGAGAATACACATATATTAGACTCCCAGATTTAAAAAGAATGTTAGCTGGATTAAAACCCACTGTAGGCACCATGGTGTTTACAAAAGACACACTGAGGGTATTACAACACTGAATAACAGGAAAGCAAAGAATGTGAACATATGTATCAGTCAGACATGAAGCACAAAAAAAAAGTTAGGCCAGTTACATTAATATTTGTCAGAGAAGACTATAAGACAAATAGTGTCATTAAGGACAGAGCTGCTATACAATGATTAAACATTAAAGTCACCAAGGTGACATAAAAATTCTAAGCATGTATGCACCTCATTGAATAAAGTCAACAGCTCTAAGCAAAACTTGACAGTTCTCCACGAACAAATGACAAACCTACTGTGATAGTCGGAAATTACAAAACACTTCCTTCAGTAACTAAAGTTTCACATAGCCAAAAAAGCAAAAAAGTAGAAAAGTCCTGATAAATACTTAGAAGTACTTAGCACATTTTCAATAAGTCTACAAAGGTTATCAGTGAACTGTTTTTTTTTTCTGTTGTAATAAAATATGACGGCCAAAAGCAACATAGGGAAGGAGTGGGTTTATTTTTACTCACAGTTCCAAAAGTGTGGATTTCAACACCACAGGGAAGATATAGCAGCCGACAGTGAAGGCATGACCACCGGTCGCCAAGCAGGGCGGGAAACTGGCCGATTTCAGTTCTTGCTCAAACAGGAAATAGAGGAAGAAGTGAGACAGCCTATCACCTCTCAAAACTTGTCCTGAGTGATACACTTCATCCAATAAGGTTTCTTCAGGAAGCTCCACTTCCTGAAAGTCCCAGAACCTTCCAAACCACCAGCTGGTGTATATTCAAATGACGATAGTTATCATATGAATCATCGCTTTCCTAAATTCTAAGAATTTAACTATGAAAAGGAAAAGTAGGCTACAATTTTAAGTGGACTTAAATATTTTTATAATACCTAATAAACTAAAAGAAATAGAGTTTAAAAAACATACATAATTTTTAAAAATAATAAATGCCATGCCACTTGAATGTCTGAGATTATGGAATAATATATTATCTGGCTGGCATTTCTTTTTTGTTGTTGTTTGTTTGGTTGGTTGGTTGGTTTGGTTTTTTGAGACAGGGTGTAGCTTTGGAGTCTGTCCTGGAACTTCCTATATGTAGACCAGGATGGCATCAGATTCACAGACATCTGCCTGCCTCTGCCTCCCAAGTGCTGGGATTAAAGGCATGGGCCACCACCACCCAGATATACTTGGCATTTCTTAAATAGTAAGGTTACTTACAATAGAGTTTGGTGCTCTGCCGCTTTCAAGCTAATGTTACATCATAGGCATTCGGTCACGCCATTGTTAATATCTTTTATCTAGGAATAGCTCTCCAGCCCCTAGGTTTCTTTCTACTTCAGCTAGAAATGAAAAGCCCTCTTCCAAATATAAATTAAATTCATGTCAGTAAGACACCTACAGACCAACACTCCCAGAAATTCAGAGTTCCTTTTAGGCTCAGTCTGGGTCAACCCTCTGAACAATATATTCTAATTCCTGCCACAGCCAAATGCATGTTCTTTTGTTAAAGGCTCAGTTGTGGTGAAATAAAAAATAACTTCTATTCCTTGGTCAAGTGAAGGTTTAGAACCAGGCTTCCTGCAGCTTTATTCTTTTCTGGAGTATAGTCAATACTGATCCCCATTTCCAAGCCCAGAAACCTACAATTCCCATTTCCTCTTAATTTGCTGATTAACAAAAAGGTCCTAAAGCTTTTTCTAGAAAACTTCTGACAAGGCTGACCTCACTGGGTTCTCTCTCCACAGCAGCCTCAGTTCTCAACTCAAGGATTAGTTGAGTTGAAAGCTCAACTAATAGTTAAAAGCTCCCCGTCACAAAGCTTTCACTACTAGTGCTAGGGCATGAAAATCAGGTCTTGAGAGACGGAAAGTGGAAAGTGTGATTGGTTCACACTTGGAAACTTCCGTAGCCTTGACTGTGTAGCTGAGTTCCCAGCCCCACACAATAATTATGACATCCTGAGGCTGTGCCCAAACAAGCACATATGTTTGGTTTCCTTTTTCCAACAAGTCTTAGCAGCAGCGTTTCTCCTACTGCTGTGAGATTTCAGCCAGAGATATTTTAGATAGAGGGAATTTCATGAAAGCCAAAACCTTTTCTTTTGTTTCCTGTAACACTAGGCGGTTCACAGTCTAAGGGACAAAACCAGGCCAGTGCACTCTGGCCACCCTCTTACTGGTGGTTGGTTTTCTGCGATTTCAACATCAACACAAGAAAACAGTGGGTTCTGCATAACAACAGAGAGACTGCTCTCACGTGGACTTTCATCACTCTCTTACTGGCTGTATCATACATTACATGTGTGAAGCGGCATGCATTGCTTGAACTCCGTGCTAGGCTGGCCTGAAGTGGGGTTGTTCTACTGCCATTTTAGACCCCAGCATGTTTGTCTCAAAGCATCCTCCCAGGTTTCTTGTCTGGGTGCATCTAGCCTTCCCCCTCCAACTCAGTGACAGGGAGGACAAAACAGCCCAAGAATAAAAATGTTGTGTTCTTAAAAATAACTAAGTCAAGTATTTCCAACAAATTTTTATCCATGGCATTTAAGGGTCTACCAAATGAAAGAGAAGTCAGACGTCCAGCCATGGAAAGAAAGTTAGCTGCCTTAACTTCCTGGGTTGATTTCTGCTGGGTATTCTGAGCATCCAGTTTGATGAAGTTTTCTCTAAGTGGTGCTATTTGTTCTTTATTTGGAAAGCTCACTGAAGGTCTGCTCTGTCCAGGACTCTCTCTATTGGAAACTTCAAATAACTGCCCCAAAGGGGCTTCCCTAGCCTCTATCTGCTTAGTGTCTTGACCTTCCATTTTGATGATGCACCGCCCCCTCGGTGTTATTTTTATTTTATTTTTGCTTCTATATATTTAATACACTCACTAATTCAAAACTGAAAATATATTTATCACAGCTCATTCTCTGGACCATACAGTTGTCTTATGTCTTTATTGTTTTCACTATTCTACCTTATGATTAGTGGTTGTTGGTAATCTCTTGTTATACCAAGTTTATGCCTTAAACTTCACCTCATTGGTTGTAGGAATATGACAAAATATAATTCTTTGTTGTATGTGATTTCAAACATCTACTGAGGATCTTAGAATGCATGATAAATGCAATTATATAAGAGACTGGAAGAAATCCCAGCCAAAGCCCGGGAAATATCCCAAGTGTAAGGAACTAGATTGATAATGTCATCAGACAATAAGATAGAAAAGATAGAAAATCATATCACATAAAGGGCTGAAAGTAAAGGAGGTAAACTGAGTTGCTAGACAAACAGAAGAGCCTGTGTTAGTAAAACTACTGAAGCCTCAAAACTGGCAGTAAAAGATCAGATAAAGCCAATAAAATGACCAATTCTGCCTAAGGATACCTGCAGTTCTAGATTTCCAAGGTCACAAACAGAAGTAAGACTGAAATTGTGTCTTTGGATGCTACTAGGAGAAAATACTAAAATATGGGGGAGGGGTGTCTTCATCAGTGTTCTACTGCAATGAAGAGACACCAACTATGGCAACTCATATAGAGCAAAGCATTTAATTGGAGCTGGCTTACAGTTTCAGGGGTTTAGTCCATTATCACCACGGCTGGGAGCATGGTGGCATGCAGGCATACATAGTGCTGGAGAAGTAGCTGAGAATTCTATATCCACATCTGCAAGCAACCGGAATAGAGGGCCAAGAGGCCTGGCTCTGGCTTTTAAAACCTCAAACTTCACCCCTAGTGACACACTTCCTCCAGCAAGGCCTCCTAATCCTCCTCAAGCAGCCACTCCTGATGACTAAGTGTTTGACTAGATAAGCCCATTGGGGCCATTCTTATTCTCTCCACTACAAGTGTCCTGGATATGTCTTAAAAGTTGCAGGACACATACACACACACACACACACACACACACAGAGAGAGAGAGAGAGAGAGAGAGAGAGAGAGAGAGAGAGAGAGAGAGAGAGAGAGAGAGAGAGAGAGAGAGAGAGAGAGAGAGAACAAAACAAATGGAAAACTGGATTTGGCTATCAAGCTGCTTTTTTCCTACCTTAGTGAGAGTTTCTTCATAAATGAATAGGAACAATGAGTGAGTGCCAGGGAAAACATCCTGGCTAGTGGAGACTGTAGCTAACCAAAATCTAGCTGTTGGGGAGAGGTAGGTCAGCACATACTAGGTGCTGGTGGGGTGGTAGAAAGAGAATTTCGTTTTTAATATGATGCTGGCAGGTGTGTGTGTGTGTGTGTGTGTGTGTGTGTGTGTGTGGTGTGTGTGTGTACATCTTAGACAGACAGTATGTGTACTAATTTTAAGGATGAAAGTCAACAAAAACTAAAGCAAAACTAAAGCCCAGAAATCAGAGCAAGGTCTCAGAGGCATTAATAAGAGATGAAAGATAGGATAGAGCAAGGATGAAAATCACCTTAGGGAAAAAGAGAGAAGATGTAGGCATATAGAAAAAATAATAATGCACCAAGTTCAGCAAATATAGTTATTAGAGCTGTTTGTCTCTACAACTGAGAAGGGACTTTCTCGATAAGGAACGTTTTCTCTAGGTGGGCAACAAGTCAAGATTGAAAATTGATCTTTCTCTAGACCAATGGGTGGTTCTTGGCACAGTGAAGGCGGCAGAAGGTCAGAAGCACCACTCAGACTCAGAAGAGGGGAAGTCAGCAGGGTGAAACCATGTTCACCTCACGAGGCTTCTGGATTAGGACAGCAATTGAACACAGGTTTTAGTTCTGCAGAAACACTCTCCCACATCCCACACAAGGTCCCACTTCATTTTCTTTCCAGTATTTTATTTTTCCACAAAAAACTTCAAACTCAAATGTAAAGTAACAAAATGGTAGGCATTCATATACCTATTACATAGAAAAAAAAGAAATATTAACACTTTTCCTTATTTTCAGATATTATGTATATGCCTAGGCCTCTGTATAAATTTATTGCTACATGATAGAAATCGGGTCAGATCTCATAATATTTAGCAATAATCTGTCAGTACATTTCTTCAATGAAGAATGCTTTCTGATACTGATTTATTCCTTATCACACCCAGAAATATTAAAACAATTAAAAAAAACACCTGAGGTCACCCAAAACCGAGGATATTCAAATTTCCAGGTTGAGCATCAAGTGCTTTTCTGGTTCCCTTTTGAAAACTACAGTCCAATCAAGGCTCAGAAATTGCATTTATTTTCATTTATTTAGAGTGTATGACACATGTACATGTGTTTGCATACACATACAAATATGTGTGGTGTGTGTGTGTGTGTGTGTGTGTGTGTGTGTGTGTGTGTAGAAGCCAAAGATCAGTGATGAGCTTCTTTGTTATTCTCCATCTTATTCTTTGACATAGGAATTCAACTCTCATGGAAACTGGAGTTCACTGGTTCAGCTACACTAGTTAGCAAGAGAGCTTTTGGGATCTACTTAGCACAGAGCCATGCTCCAAGTGCTAGGGCTATAGACGTGTGCTGCCGTGCACAGGGTTTTATGTGTGTGCTGGAGATCTGAGTGCAGTTCCTTATGCTTGCACAGCTAGCACTGGGCTGTCTCCCCAACCCTGACACGCAGTGCAGTTTTGCATCTTTTGTTAATTTTAAACTAGAACAGTACAAACCACATACTGCTTTTTCAACCCCAT